ATGACTCGAAGCGCCAGGATGCGGTCTATTGTGGACTTACCAGGAGTGAATCCAGATTGCTCCGGTCTTTGGTGCCTCAGGAGGTGGTCTCTGATACGTCTCAGTAAGATGTGGGCGAGTACCTTGCCTGGCACACTGAGCAGTGTAATGCCTCGGTGATTGCTGCAGTCCCACCGATCCCCTTTCCCCTTCCAGAGAGGGATGACCATACCCCTCAGTAGGTCAGGGGGAATGGTACCGGTCTGCCAGATGGCAGACAGGACTGCATGCAAGCCCCTTGCCATAGGTTCTCCACCAGCCTTTAACAATTCAGCTGGGATGCCGCAGACACCTGCTGCTTTACCACTCTTCAGCTTGGAGATCGCCCCCCTGACTTCAGTCAGGGAGGGTGGATCCTCGCTGATGAGTGGGTCTGGCAGAGGAGTCTCAACATTCCCAGCATCCAAGTTAACTGTTGGTGGATCAACCTGATACAGCTGCTCAAAATACTCAGCCCAACGCACACGCACCCCATCAGGATCTGTGATTACCTGACCACTCGCTGAGCGGACTGCCGTCGTCTGTGAGGAGGGCTTGGAGTTCAGCTTTCTCAGGGCTTGGTAGGCAGGACGAAGGTCATTTACTAGGAAACGGCTTTCGACCTCCTCTGCAAGATTACTGATATACTGTTCCTTATCCCTTCTCAGCAGTGACCTAGTCCTGCGCGCCAGAGAACGGTGCAAATTGCGATCCCCTGACAATCGAGCTGCACGGCAAGCTTCTGTGGCTTCCAGTGTCTCCTGCGAGATGGTATTCTGTCTTGCTCTAGGGCGTACACCAATGGATTCCTGAGCTGCATCAAGCGTTTCACGCTTGAAGGAATCCCACATAACAACAGGGTCTGTCAGGCCCTCGAGTGCTGTGAACCGACCAGAGATAGCCTCAGCAAACCCCCGGGCACACTCATCCTCCCTCAGTCTGTCCAGATGAAACACCCTGGGGTGCTCATTTGGTCGACGGGGGGTTTTAAAGTGGACCCGGAGAGTAGCCACAACTAATCTATGATCAGTTCCACAGAACTCGGCGCTTCGATACACCCTGCAGTTCTGGAGGATCCTCCACCGAGTGCTGACGAGGATGTGGTCGATCTCCTTGGCCACCCTACCCGTATCGCTGTACCAAGTCCAGCGATGCGGGTCA